CGCAGCCTCCGCAGGGCAACGTTCCCCCCCAGCACAACCCCTTCCCCCCATACGCATCCCCCGCCGTGGCGGCTGCGGGGAACGGGCTCTGCTCCGGCCCAAACTGGGCTGTTTCTGCCAAAGATCCTAGGGGACCACTTAGTCGACACCTGCAGCTACTAAAACCTTGGCTTTGTTACCGCTTACAGGTGCTCCCAACCCGGGGAGGAGGGGTGGGGCAGCGGTTTGCATTTCCAGCATTTGCTCGAGAGAATAACGTTAATTACTTTAACACCTCTCGCTTCAAAGTTCTTCGGTGTTTTTTTTTAAAAAAAAGCAGCAGCGCACCATTTTCTCGTAAAGATTGATTTTGGTTTAAAATCGCTAGTTCTCTCATATAAAACGTCTCTTAGAGCCACTGTCTGCAGTGCTCACAGCACCAACGTCCCCTGCGGAGAGCAGAGGCTCACAAGCTGCAGGAGGTTGAGCACAGTAACACCCACCGGTTCTCAGTTTAATTAAGAGCCTCTGTTAGAATCTCCGCAAATTAACCTTTTCTTCTCTTGTAAACTATTAATGGCATAAGCCGACTTAAAACTTCTCTTCTTGATTCTGCTGAGCAGCACCCGCTCCGTTTCGAACGATGACTTTTCAACCGAGTCATCGAGAGGTTTTAAAGAAAATCCCTAGACTGCAAGAAGTAACAGAACGACTCGGGTTCAAACGTGACTTGCCCGACTCGAAAATCCTTTATATTGTCGTCTCTTCCCTGTGCTTCCCCCATCCCACCGTTTGCGGAACGCGACTCGAGTGTGTTTAAATTAGGCGACAGGACCCCTCATTCTGTGCAGGTGTTTTTAAGGAAAGCGCTGCCTTCCAACGAAATCTTCTCGGAGCTTTCCTACTTTCAGAGGTGACCATCAGCAAAACCCAGCCAGGGTTCTCGCTAAGTCGCTGATGGTCTGAAGGTGTCCCCGGACCTCGGCTCAGCTCAGGGCTTGCTGCCCTTGCTTTGCCTCCTCTTCCCTTTTGTTTCCCCCCTCCGAAAAGGCGGGGACCGGCTCAGCCACGTATGGTACTGCAGGTAGAAATACAGGAA